GGATTGATCGCTCGAATTTCATTACATTCTTTAATATATCTAATGTATGTATTTCAAAATGTATCTTGGCCAAAATATGTATTTATTGTTTTCACTATGCTCCTTATTTATGAACCTAAAATTGTCCACATCTGACGACTATATCGCAATGCGAATCTTACAATTTGACTCACATGTTTGCAAAACCTCAAGCCATATGTGTAGAAGGGTATTTAATCTGCAGCGTGCCTCTTTTTCTTTTTTTGTTTATTTATTGCCTTACTAAATCGTTGTCAATTTGAATATAATTTGAAGCAGTTCAATTGTAAATAAAAATCGCGAATTTTGAACACTATTTGTAGAATATTATATTTCTGTATGCATATATATATATTATGTATGCATCTCTATTATATCATAGCCAGGCAATCTAGTTGTTCAGTTTCTCGCCCTGTTAGTTTTTACTCGCAATCAACTGTCACATTGATTGCCACATACTGATTTGCCTGTTGATAGAGCGAATCTCATATTTCATATTTGGTCATGCATCTAATTGGCTTTGTGGCGTGCGAGAGAATTAGTCGAGAAATCAGTTGTGATTCCAGTGCATATAAAACAAATACTTGCCACAGACTAGACTAGTGTGAACCAAGACTTGGTCGAGTGTAAATCATGAATAATATCATGATCACGATCGCCTTGATTTGCCTAGCGGCGGCAGCTGCATTTGCTGATCCACTTTTAGTGGAACTGCCAAATGGAAAAATACGTGGACGCGATAACGAGGGGTATTACAGCTACGAGTCCATACCCTATGCGGAGCCACCTGTGGGTGAGCTGCGCTTCGAGGCACCACAGCCATACTCCCATCAGTGGAAGGAAGTCTTCGATGCAAGCAAGCCACCCGTGCTCTGCATGCAATGGAATCAGTTTGTCAATGGGGAAGACAAGCTAATAGGCACGGAGGATTGCCTGACTGTGAACGTGTACAAGCCGAAGAACTCGAGTCGCAGCACTTTTCCTGTTCTGGTCAATATTCATGGCGGCGCCTTCATGTTCAGTGGACCTGTTCAGCACGGACACGAGCCCATTATGGTCAGTGGAAATGCTATTGTGGTGAAGATCGCCTATCGACTCGGCCCGCTTGGTTTCCTAAGCGCCGACGACGTCACCTTGTCGGGCAACTTCGGACTGAAGGATCAACGCTTGGCTCTGCGTTGGATTAAAAAAAACATTGCCTGCTTTGGTGGAGAACCGGAGAATATACTCGTGCTGGGTCACTCAGCTGGCGGTGCATCAGTGCACCTGCAGCTACTGCAAGAGGAGTTCAGCCAGCTGGCAAAGACAGCTGTTTCATTTAGTGGAAATGCCCTCGATCCTTGGGTGGTGCAACCAGGTGCGCGTCGACGCGCCTTCGATTTGGGCCGCATTGTGGGCTGCGGCTTGCTCAGTGAGTCTGTTGAGCTCAAAAGGTGCCTGCAGTCGAAAGATGCATCTCAAATAGTCAGTGCTGTGCGTCAGTTCCTCGTATTTGACTATGTGCCCTTTACTCCCTTCGGCCCTGTGCTAGAGTCCGTCGATGCAGCCGAGCCTTTTCTTACTCAGCACCCCGTTGACATTATCAAGAGTGGAAAGTTTGCCCAAGTGCCTTGGCTAGTATCCTACACCCAGGAGGATGGCACATATAATGCTGCTCTTTTAGCGAAACAATTTAATGGAAGAGAATTAATTGAGGAGCTGAACAGTCGCTGGTACGAGTTGGCACCCCATTTTCTGTTCTATCGTGACTCTAAGAAAACAATTGAAGAAATGGACGACTACTCGCGGGACCTGAGACAAGAATATCTGGGTAATCGAAACTTTAGCTTGGAGAACTACTTGGATGTGCAGCGTATATTTACGGACGTGTTATTCAGAAATGACACCATACGCTCCATAGAGCTGCATGGAAAGTTCGGAAAGAGTCCAGTTTATGGCTATGTCTACGATAATCCCCCTGTTAGGGGCAGTGCCCAACAGCTAGCTGAGCGGGATGATATTTATTTTGGTGAGAAACGGATATATATAAAGTATTCGTCAACTCAATTTAATTTATATGCTTATAGGCACAGGACATGGCGATGATTATGTTCTCATATTCGACAAGCCAAACACTCAACTCCGTGCTGACGAGAAGATCATTTCCAAGAATTTAATAAGCATGCTAGAGGACTTTGTACAAAGAGATAATGGATCCTTGAACTATGACACGTGCGTGTTTCGAGATAATGTTGGCCAAAATATGCTCCAACTGCTTGACATCAAGAGCAACAGCTGCGTAAATATGGAAGTGAATCTTTTCCATTAGACAGAGTCTAGCAAAGTTTTCTTATTTTATAGTTTTTTGATTGATTTGTAGCGTTAAATGCAAACAAATGCTGACAAATAGAATAATCTGTTGTCTTATGCTTATTCTTATACCCTGAACTCATGAAAAATGGGTATAATGTTTTCGTGCAATTGTTTGTAATAGGCAGAAGAAAGCATCTCCGACCCCATAAAAGTAAATATATTCATGATCGGAACAAGTCGAACTGAGTCAATCCAACCATTCTATAGATTTGTTATTGTAAAATATATTCTCTTATATTTATAATAACTATCGTTCTTAAGATATGATATGTGTTTGGGGTATCTCCTAGTCGGGTACTCCCGACTACAGCACACTTACTTATCGATCTCCGTGTTGTCCCATACATCAATATAAACTCAGTCGCTCTGCGTGGTGCGAGCGCAGATAATGACAAGCAATAAAATGAGAGAGTCGGATCGAGAACAAGAATAATACAACTGCGGATTGTCTCCGCTTAGAACAGTTTAGACTGAGACTCGGCAGGGAGCAGATCATGACAGATAAGTCGATTCGCATCGCATTGCTCTGTCTGGGGGCAGCAGCTACCTTTGCCGATCCGCTGCTGGTGGAACTGCCATATGGCAAATTGCGTGGACGCGATAACAAGGGGTATTATAGCTACGAGTCGATACCCTATGCGGCGCCACCTGTAGGAGAGCTGCGCTTTGAGGCACCACAGCCATACTCCCAGCAGTGGAAGGAGACCTTTGATGCCAGTCAACCACCTGTGCCCTGCATGCAATGGAGCCAGTTCATCGAACAAGCGGATAAGCTGACGGGCAGTGAGGATTGTCTCACTGTCAGCGTATACAGGCCAAAGAATTCCACTCGCAGCACGTTTCCAGTTGTGGTGCTAGTACATGGCGGCTGCTTCATGTTCGGTGGTGGTGCGGAAAACGGACACGAGCCGCTCATGGCCAGCGCAAATGTGATTGTGGTGAAGATCAGCTATCGACTGGGATCACTGGGTTTTGTTAGTACCGGCGACAGCGCTTTGCCGGGCAACTTTGGATTGAAAGACCAGCGTCTGGCCTTGCATTGGATCAAGCAAAACATTGCCCAGTTCGCGGGAGAGCCGGAAAATATTCTGGTGCTTGGCTTTTCCTCAGGCGCTGCCGCGGTGCATCTGCAACTTCTTCAACAGGAATTTAAGCAGCTAGCCAAGGTGGCTGTGTCCATTAGCGGGAATGCACTGAATCCTTGGATTGTGCTTAAAAGCGGACGTAGACGCGCTTTTGAGCTGGGTCGCATGGTGGGCTGTGGCCTACTAAGTGATTCTATTGACCTAAAAAAGTGCCTGAAAACTAAGGATGCAGCCCAGCTAGTCAGAGCTGTGCGTGAATTCTTAGTGTTTGACTATGTGCCCTTTACTCCATTTGGACCGGTGGTAGAGTCCATCGATGCAGCCGAGCCTTTTCTTACTCAGCACCCCGTTGACATTATCAAGAGTGGAAAGTTTGCCCAAGTGCCTTGGCTAGTATCCTACACCCAGGAGGATGGCACATATAATGCTGCTCTTTTAGCAAAACAATTTAATGGAAGTGAATTAATTGAGGAGCTGAACAGTCGCTGGTACGAGTTGGCACCCCATTTTCTGTTCTATCGTGACTCTAAGAAAACAATTGAGGAAATGGACGACTACTCGCGGGACTTGAGACAAGAATATTTGGGTAATCGAAACTTTAGCTTGGAGAACTACTTGGATGTGCAACGCTTATTTACGGACGTGTTATTCAGAAATGACACGATACGCTCCATAGAGCTGCATAGGAAGTTTGGAAAGAGTCCAGTTTTTGGCTACGTCTATGATAATCCCGCTAATCAAGGCAGTGGGCAGTGGCTGGCAAGGCGAAACGATGTTTCTTTTGGTAGGACTTTGATTAATATGAGCTACTGTGGCCGTAACTAATGTCCACTTATCTTCTTATAGGCTCAGGGCATTGGGATGATTTCTTTCTAATATTTGACAATCCCGTCCGCCACCCTCTGCGCTCAGACGAGAAAATTATTTCCAGGAATTTGATAAGAATGCTGGAGGGCTTTGTGCAAAGCGACAATGGGACTTTGACTTATGACGATTGTGTTTTGCGAGATAATGTGGGCCAGGCGCAGCTGCAATTGCTTTCAATCAAACGTAACAGCTGCGAAGTGCTTCAAGTGAGCTAGCTACTTTAAGAACTTCTCAATTAGCTTGCACGCCTTTAATTAAACCTATATAATTGCATCTTGATCAGTATTTAATTTATGTAATTAGATACAATTAATTTGACACTTATAATGCAAATGTCTGGTCACTGAACTGATTCCATTTTGGATTGAGATTGTTTTGCATTGGTTTCATAACCTTTCCCAAATAACCGGAAATTAAATATGTAGGCTTTTGGGCGAATTAAAATACTAATTAGGAGCCTGTTCTACTGGTTATTCATTACTTTAAAATAAAAACGCGTGCCTGTTAAGATATATAATACACTTTCAAATCAATTATCAGATAAATATCTAAGTAAGTCAAAGGGTCGCCAACCCCATTGAGTTCAAGTTCAAATTGGAATGACTTTCATTTCATAAAAGTAACGTTCCTTGCCGTCGGCTGTCTTAGTCGCAGTTGGGATCTGCTTAAGTACTGATCATGTGCTGCGTTAGGTTTCTCTTAGCGCTGTGTCTTGTTGGGGTAGTGGCCGCCACGGATCCGCTGCTGGTGGAACTGCCATATGGCAAATTGCGTGGACGCGATAACGAGCGGTATTATAGCTACGAGTCGATTCCCTACGCGGAGCCCCCTGTGGGTGAGCTGCGCTTCGAGGCACCAAGACCATACACCCAGCGCTGGAAAGACATCTACAATGCGAGCAAACCTCCCGAGAACTGCATGGAGTGGAGTCAGGTAGTTCAGCAACCCGACAAACTTCGCGGGGTAGAGGACTGTCTGACTGTCAGCGTGTATAAGCCCAAGAACTCCAGTCGCAAAAGCTTTCCAGTTTTGGTGGATATATATGGCGGAGGCTTCATGTTTAAAGCATCGTCTGAGGGAATACACGAGCGACTTATGGACAGAGGAACTTTTATTATGGTTAAGCTAAACTATAGAGTGGGACCATTGGGATTTGCAAGTTCCGAAGATGGCGCTATATCAGGCAACTTTGGACTAAAGGACCAGCGCCTGGCACTGCGCTGGATTAGGAAGCACATTGATCGTTTTGGTGGCGAGCCAGAGAATATACTTGTCCTGGGTCTTTCTGCTGGAGGAGCTTCGGTGCATCTTCAGCTACTCAAGGAGGATTTCGGCCAGCTGGTAAAGGCAGCAGTTTCGCTTAGTGGAAATGCATTAAATCCCTGGGTGGTGCAACAAGGTGCACGTCGCCGCGCCTTTGAGCTGGGTCGCATTGTGGGCTGCGGCTTGCTAAGTGATTCTATGCAGCTCAGAAAGTGCCTCAAGTCGAAGGATGCATCTGAAATAGTCAGTGCTGTGCGTCAGTTCCTAGTCTTTGACTATGTCCCCTTTACTCCGTTCGGCCCTGTGGTAGAGTCCGTCGATGCAGCTGAGCCTTTCCTCACACAACATCCCATTGATATTATCAAGAGTGGAAAGCTTGGGCAAGTGCCTTGGTTAGCCGCCAACACGCAAGACGATGGCACTTACAATGCTGCTCTGCTCATGATAAAGCAAGCCAATGGAAGAGAGCTGATTGAGGAGCTGAACAGTCGCTGGTTCGAGTTGGCGCCCCACTTTCTGTTCTATCGGGACTCCAAGAAAACGCTTGAGAAAATGGACGACTACTCACGGAACCTGAGACAAGAATATCTGGGAAATCGCAATTTCAGCATGGAGAGCTACTTGGATGTGCAGCGCATATTTACGGATGTGCTGTTCAGAAATGACACCATACGCTCTATAGAGCTGCATGGGAAGTTCGGAAAGTGTCCCGTTTATGGCTACGTCTATGATAATCCCGCTAATCAGGGAACTGGAAATTGGCTGTCAAAGCGAAGTGAATTCAATTTTGGTAAGAGACATATAAATATGTTGCTTGTCCTTCAACTTTAACCAACCTTATTATAGGCACGGGACATGGCGATGATTACTTTCTAATCCTTAACAGTCAAATCGGTACACCTCTGCGCTCCGACGAGCAAGTTATTTCAAGAAATTTGATGAATATGCTTGAGGGTTTTGTTCAAAGCAAAAATGGGACTTTGGTCTATGACAACTGCGTGTTCCCAGACAATGCGCAGCAAGAGAAGCTACAATTGCTCTCCATAACTCGCAGTGGGTGCGAGGTGTTACATGTGAATGCGATCCATTAAACAGACATAACTCGACTATAGCATAATAGCCAAAAAAGGAACTATCGGGAATAAATATAGAAGTATAACGCACATTTGCTACTTTCTTATGCCTGCTAGGGTATTTTTATATAATAACTAAAGCAAATAACACAAACCAAGATTTTTAATAGCTTATATTAGAAAGCGGAGGTACTGAATGCCTAATATAATTAAAATTTGTTTCGGGATTTGCTTTTGGATTCGGCCTGGTTATGTACTGTCCATGCTATGTGTATAATACATCGGATTATCGGATTAGTTGCAGCCTTGAATGCGCTGCTGGTGAAACTGCGAAAGGGTAAAGAATCTATGGAGTGTATAGCGCTACGAAGTCTAAGATGGGGCAAACCTCCCGATATCTGCATTCAGTAGAGTTAACTAGTTGATCAACCCGATAAGCTGCTTGGATAAGAGGACTGTCTCAATGTGAGCGTGGATAAGCGAATCGCATTGAAATAAAATTTGGTAGAATGTGAACATAGTTCTTGCTGTGGAGTGTGCTAACTTTACTACTAATAGATTCAGACATGACCGAAGACTATTTCCTAGTTAAGCCCTCTTTTGTGCTTCAACGAGAAGAAGCTCTCACAAATGCACGATTTATTTATAAAGTGCAATGTCGGTACTCTGGTTTATGAATCGCAACAATGTTGGCCAAAACAAAAGTCAAATAGATCCATTGACCAACAGGGCTGCTAAGTATTTTAAGATCTTGAATGAAGTAACTCCGGGCTGATGCATTTCTAAATTTTATTCAGTCTTTCGTGTTGCTCAGGTCCTTGAACCGCAGACTTTATATAACGCCGTGATAAATGACTTAATAAATACTTAGTAGCATTATTAGATTATAATTATATGAATGCGAATGACAAACAACCGGTTCTGTGGAGACACGTTCCCGAAACGAGTCAAAGAGCCGAGATAATTTATTTGTGTGTAGATTGTAGACTCTTTATAAAGCTACATGTATCTGTGCAATCAGTTTAATTGCAGCTTACCTCGCACGAATTTCAGTTTTATTCTTTTGCAGCTTTTTCGTTCAAGCACTGCGCCTTTTTCTGCCTATTTTAATCCCTGGCAACTCCTGAGTGCTGCTTGCCGCTTTTCCTTAGAGTTCACATAGTTTTTCCCAGCACGACTGTCACTTGATGGCCCACATGCATTTCGTTTTAAGCGGCTTTCAAGTTTCTCGTTTGTGGTTCGTTGTGCTTACTTTGCGAATTCAGGTTTCTTGTTTTGTAGATTTATGCTTTTGCTAGGGGAACGGGGGCATAAACTACGTGAATGCAGATTCCAAATATACAAGGCACGCACGGCCAATTAAAAAAAAGCTGATCTGCTATAGGCTGGGGTGTCTCGACTAAACGATGATCTGTAATTAATTAAATTTGTAAGCTACATAGCCAATTCAATAAGCTTAGCTCTTGTAGATCTTGAGTTTGCTCGGATCATGATGAGACAAGCTCAACATTAATAAAGAATAATTCAATATTATTTAACGCTTTTCTCACTTCTAATTTGGATGAAGGCATTTTAATATTTATTTCATCACATTTTCGTGGAGTTGTGTCTTTTCTTTTTTTTGTTCAAACATATTTATAGAATTTTAAATAACTTAAATGTAATAAAAAAATATTTTAAAATTCTTTCCCGTCCTCCACATTCCGAATATTCTTGTAGCCGCAGAATTGCCAAGCGAATTTACTCGCAGATACATCTATAATACCCCTTTGACACATGCCTATGGCTGCAGGGTATACAAAAAAGGGTTATAAATGCGAGAGAGAAAAGAGTTTTGAAACAACTTATGGAACTGCAAACAAATGGCAATAATCTTGAACAATGGTTACGTAGAGCCCGAACGGGAGTGCGGAACGGAACGGAACGGAACGGAATAAGGGCAACATGGAATCTGAAACGCGTGCCTTGCATATTCTATGATAGTTAATTATGTGCCGGTTGTTGCGTATTTCACAATTTTTAGATTTATTTAGGGAAATTAGCCAAAAACGCAGTGCTAGGGGCTAGGTGGATGGAGGGAGGCATGGAGACAGGGAGGAGGCAGCAGCGTTGCATCGACACAAGCTTAGCTGGGGGAATGTTTGGTGGAATAATGAAAAATAACTTACGCCTTTTATGTGCGAAATATTGAAATATTAGGCAGCCGGGCGTTGTAAGAGAAGGTAGCGGGAGGGCGCCGGCTAGGGAGCGAGCCGGACCCAAAGGATTCATCAGCGGTAACAGCTGTTGACGGCGCACTCGGCACTCGGCGCTCGGCGCTGCCAAAAATTTTAGCATTTTGCGATGATGTATCGTTGGCATCATTATAACAGCTGCCGTTCCGGATCCCCAACTGGCAGTCCCCAGTCTAAGCCTCTGCCTGTTGCCAGTAGTTGCCAAAATGAATTTGGATGCGTTTTGCTGGCTGCCTGGTCTGGTCTGGTTGGGTCTGGCCGGGGCTATTGGGCAACGGCTTGTGCGTGCCTTGGGTACTTGTTGTTATATTTATCACGGAAGCGTACTTTATCTTGCCTGTACTGGCCCGCCTGGTCACAGCCGCCAGCCCAGTAACATGGCATCAGTCAACAGCTGCTCGCCGCCAGCCTCAAATCACCAGGCCAACAGTTTTACATTTTCCACACTGAAATATATACAACTCTTATATATATTTTCTTGTATACACAAAAAAAAAATATTGTTTCGTTATTTATTGAGCCCTTTTTTGCGTGTCGAGCTGGAAATTAAACTTGCATTATGGTCTGGGGGCACATTTGTATCATCAGGAAAACTTTCTCGACATTTCATAATGCTTCTGTAGAGGCGCAATAAAAGCTTAACAGATGTTTCGCCCTTACAAATTTGATGTTTATGAGCCCAGCGAATGCTTTGGCTTGCATTTTTAATGATACCCCTTTTCCCTTTTTTTTTTTTTTAATAAATCGTAATAAAAAACGCTTCGAACATGTGTAAAGCGAATCCTTTTTTTCTGCCATCAGCTGCTAGCTGGCATTTAATGGCAGTTGGCAAACGAATTTGTAGTTTAAATTAAGCTGAAACTCAGACGTGTTCGAATGTCAGGCTAGTGTAAGCAGATTGTATCGTCTTGGGCATTAGTAGCTCGATTTAAATTGTAGTTAAATCTGATTTGATTTTGATTCCGCAACAACAAATTATATTTATGCGCTCTTCTAATATAAATACGCTTAGTTTAAATGAGCCTATGTGCATTTATATCTAAATTGTAATCCTCTTTGTACTTAATGTCAATTCTGCACCAACACTATAAAACACGCCCCTAACACACACACACACACACACACACACAGCCCCCTTGCCACACACGTGTACAGCTTAATTGCTGAAATATGTTAATGTGGTCTCTGTTCAAGGATATTGATTGAAATGCAATTTTGCAAGCGCGATGAAATTCCATAGTTTCCTTCAGTTCATTTTAAGGGCGTGGTCGAGGCGACTTACAGCCCTATTAATGTCATTCCAGTGCACAGCATAAAGCAGAGGTCTGGCGAAATGCCCAAAATGTTGGTCCAACCATAACTCGACCAAATGTGTATAATTTGATTAAATGTGTGGCAATGTCAATCTCCTCAGGTATCCAATATACGGCGGTTCCCATTATTTAATACTCCTGCGAATTCGCACAATTGCGGGCTGTTTATATGCATGTAGCTAAGCAAGGGTGTGTGTTGGAGCACACACTTAGGCATATAAATATAAGTAACTAGCGGGTATAACCCGGCCTTGCCCGTGGCACGTATGTTATAAAATCAAAAGAGCTTTGAAAATGATTTTAAAACTGATCGGACGGGATTCAAACAAACTTTTATGCAAATCGGAAAACTCTTAAAATTCACCAAAAAAATCTTTGAAATGCATTTTCCACCGAAGGAGTTTAGATTTTGCGAGAAATGTGAAACACGTCTCTAATGATCTTTCTTATAGATCTTTGGAAATAAATTTGAACACAAAACGTCATCCACCAAATCTTCGACCCCCATTTGCACCAAGGAGGGATGGATTTTTCAAAAAGTATGAGACAACCCTCAAATGAATTTGAACAAAGATCTTTGAAAATGAGTTTGGGGCCGATCGGATGGTAAACAAAAAACTTTCATACAACCGTTTTCCGCCAATTTACCACTGTTGCGGGTGGAATTTTCCAAATCGTCGAAATACGTATTCATTAAGTTCTTAATGCGAGCTTTGAAAATAAGTTTGAAGCAAATCGGACACAACTTAAAACTTCGCACAAAAAATCTTTAAATCGCATTCCCCACGAAGAAGTTTGAATTCTGCGAAAAGTGTGAAACACGTCTCAAATGATTTTTCTAATAGATCTCAGGAAATGAATTTGAGTGCGAAACGTCACCCACCAAATCTTTGACCTCCATTTCCACCAAGGAGGAATGGATTTTTCAAAAAGGGTGAAACACCCCTTAAATGAATTTAAACATTGATATTTAAACATGAATTTGGGGCCGATCGGATGGTAAACAAAAAACTTTCATACAACCTTTTTCCGCCAATTTACCACTGTTGCGGGTGGAATTTCCCAAATCGCTGAAATACGTATTCATTAAGTTCTTATGTAGAGCTTTGAAAATAAGTTTGAAGCCAATCGGACACAACTTAAAACGCCGCCCAAAAAATCTTTAAATCGCATTCCCCGCGAAGAAGTTTGAATTCTGCAAAAAGTGAGAAACACGTCTCAAATGATTTTTCATATAGATCACTGGAAATGAATTTGAGCGCGAAACGTCACCCACCAAATCTTTGACCTCCATTTCCACCAAGGAGGAATGGGTTTTCCGAAAAGTGCGAGAAACACCCCTCAAATGAATTTGAACAAAGATCTTTGAAAATAAGTTTGGGGCCGATCGGATGGTAAACAAAAAAGTTACATACAAACGTTTTTCGCGATTTTTCCACACTTGCGAGTGGAATTTCCCGAAACCCCGTCT